ACTTTTACCACCTTCTTCAATGAACAAACCAGAGTGGCTGAGGCCACCTTGGATGAGTCAGCTGTGGTGGAAAATGCTGGTCATCTGCCAAAGATCCTGCCCCCCTTCTTTTTTTGTTTTTTGAGATGGAGTCTCACTCTGTCACCCAGGCTGGAGTGTAATGGTGCAATCTCGGCTCACTGCAACCTGTGCTCCCAGGTTCAAGTGATTCTCCTGCCTCAGCCTCCCGAGTAACTGGGATTACAGGCATGTACCACCATGCCCGGCTAATTTTTGTATTTTTAGTAGAAACGACGTTTCCCCATGTTGGCCAGGCCAGTCTTGAACTCCTGACGTCAGATGATCTGCCCGCCTCAGCCTCCCAAAGTGCTGGGATTATAGCACTTGGAGCCATGGCGCCCGGCCTCCCTTTGTTCTAGTCAGCAGCACAGCCAGGCACAGACCAGCTGGAGGATACATCTCACAGTCTCCTTCGCAGCCAGATGGGGCCTTGTGACTATGCTGTGGCCTATGGCGTGAGAGAAGAACTGAGCTGGGCCGCATCTGAGGCTGGGTGGTCCTCCACGCACGTTTTGCCTTCCCACAGCCAGACCCCAAAGGTGCTCTGAGCCAGCTGTGAACACAGCGCAGGAAGCCGTGCTCCAGGAGAAGGAAGGAGCCTGAATCCCTGAATGGCTCCATGGAGCAGAGCTGCCCGGAAGTCCTAGAGTGTCAGCCCAGGGCTCTTACACGATTGAGAAATAAACTTCTGTGTTCTTTCTTTACATTCCCTTCTTTCAGCAGCTTAAACAGGGGTTGGCAAATTACACACCCATAGGCCTGGCACAGGTTTTAGTAAATTACGTTTTTTTTTGAGACAGAGTCTCACTCTGTCACCCAGGCTGGAGTGCACTCGCACGATCTTGGCTCGCTGCAACCTCCGCCTCCCAGGTTCAAGCGATTCTCCTGCCTCAGCCTCCCGAGTAGCTGGGATTAACAAGCCTGAGCCACTGTACTCAGCCTTAATTTTTATTTATTTATTTTAGACAGGGTCTCACTCTTGCTCAGGCTGGAGTTCAGTGACACTGATACAGCTCACTGTAGCCTTGACCTTCTGGGCTCCAGCAGTCCTCCTGCCTCAGTCTCTCAAGTAGCTGGGACCACAGACATGCACCACCACCCATGACTAATTTTTGTAATTTTGTAAAGAAGGGGTCTCACTTTGTTGCCCAGGCTGGTCTCAAACTCCTGGCCTCAAGCGATCCTCCTGCCTTGGCCTCACAAAATGCTGGGATTACAGGCAGGAGCCACTGCACCCAGCCTATAAATAAAGCTTTATTGGCACCAGGCAACACCCACTTATTTACACCTGATCATGGTTGTTTTGGGCTACAGCCACAGAGTGGAGGAGTTAGGATGCAGACTGGCCTTTTAAGAAAAAGTCAACCTCTGGCCGGGCACGGTGGCTCAGGCCTGTAATCCCGACACTTTGGGAGGCTGAGGCAGGCAGATCACGAGGACAAGAGATTAAGATCATCCTGCCCAACATGGTGAAACCCCATCTCTACTAAAAATACAAAAGATGAGCCGGGTGTGGTGGCGGGCACCTGTAGTCCCAGCTACTTGGGAGGCTGAGGCAGGAGAATCACTTGAACCTGGGAGGCGGAGGTTGCAGTGAAC